CGGGAAAGCGACTAAGCCAGTCGCCATGGATAGAGATGCAGGAGAAGCCTAATGCTGCCTTTTACAGACTGTGGTGTAACGTCAGTGGTCTCACTAAAATATTTGCTTGCGTTTAATCATACAGCATATTAATTAGAACATCTTATTGTGAAGTCGTTTTTGAAGGATTAAAAGAAGAATGGAAAGGTAAACTTGTTTTACGTAAACGTAACAAGGCCACCCTTAAAAGAAGAGTCGAAGACATCTTATATAACAAGCACAAGCTGCAATGTTCGTCATCGAATCATCGAAGGCTTTTCGTTCAGCTAATTTGTTCTTGATTTCCATGATACCATGTTCCCACCAATAACATAGCTCCAACCTCCCGTATGTAAACCACACACGACCCACAATCCAACCTCCATCTCCTTACCATGGCCAATCCTACCCTATCAATTCAGAAGATAAAACCAAATCTTTTTATTTCACTTCCTCAGCCACGTAACACCAAGTTCTTTCACCCTCATTCAGTGTTTTTGTTCTGTTAGTAGGCTGAACTGAAAGTGGCTTAACGGACCCTTAACGCAGTTTTTTAAAACACCAGCTAAACTCGGTTATAAAAACCAATCCTTATGCCCCATTCACACCAAGTGAACATGTTTAATCAATGCAAGCTTAGCCTCCCACGCAGGCGTTTATCAGGGATGAAAAACGAGCTCCCCTAAAAACGCCTGCGTGGGAGGCTAATGCAAGCTAGGTTGAAAAATAGAAACAATAATAACGGAAAACCAAAACACAGGCTTTTACACAGAATTTTAAAAAATCAAATTTAACACTTCACGTAATTGAACCAAAATTCCCATCATAAAAAGTACAGTGAACAGCTTTTACAAAGAACCCAATTTTAAACCGAGTTTAACTAAACAGCTTTCAATATGTTGAAGCTTTAGTGTGAATAGGGCTGTAGTGTTGCAAGCTGTCATAGCGACATCACAGATCTTGAAATCTTTGTGGGAGCGGGGAGAGGGGAGGGGGGGAGGGGTGGTTCATAAGAACCCAATACCTCATTGGCGTCCAAATGAACGAAGAAAAATCAATATATTACATTTTAAGGATTTATTTTTATTTTATGCTAAAAGTACATACCTCTGAAATCGTTCTAACGCTAACTTACAATCAAAAAATCAATTTCGGTGTCCATCTATTTTTTATCACTGTGGGTTTCCGATTCAGAGCAAAAGTATTGTAAAACTGTTACGTTAAAAAATAACTGTCAGTACATCAAAACTGTTTCATCATAAAAATATACATTCTATCATATATATAAAAATAAAAATATAAATAAAAAATAAAAATAAAAATATACATTCTATCTATAAAGATGGTAGAGGCCTGACTTCTAGCACTTCAACATACCACGCCGAAACTAATTCATTAATGATAAATGCAGACCTAGGTCGTCATGGGGAATGTAACTGAAACCAGATTTTGTGGCCCTGGTAATATAATATGTTTATCGACTAAAAAATCCCAAAAAACCCAAACCGAGTCAATCTTAATTACCATAGATAATAGAGACTTTACTTTTGGGGAATGTAACTGAAACCAGATTTTGTGGCCCTGGTAATATAATATGTTTATCGACTAAAAAATCCCAAAAAACCCAAACCGAGTCAATCTTAATTACCATAGATAATAGAGACTTTACTTGACTCATGGGGGAGTTTCCCTCTTCAATTTCCCGCACTTAAATCTTATTTGAGTTGTTCAAGACGTGAAATCCTCATTGAACACAAACTACAGGGTAAGGAAAGTCGCGTAATGTTGTACTGTACCAAATCATACCGTATGATAAAACGAAATTTTCCCTGTAGGAAAAAAGGATAAAAAAGGAAAACAACATACAAACGCGCCAACTTAAGTTTTGAGCCAGTGATAGAAGAGCGATCGATTTTCGTTTGGCCTTGAAATAATTATTTACGAAGAACCTGGAACAACAAACGAACAAAAAGAATTTGATTGATCTATGGAACAGTCAGACAAACGCACCCTGTTTCGATTGAAATAATTTGCCATTTCTTGTACGTCGGCGACTTGGCTTGTACTTACAAACACAAATCAAGTTGAGTCAAGCGCCTGGTTTTTCAAGATTGGAAGAAAAAAAACCGGGGTATGAGCGTTTATTTTTAACAGCTATCTTCTTTCTTGTTTCTTTCCGACTAAGTTAATTGTTTTCAATTTAAGTGCAGTCGAACTGACTTCACACCACGTATTTTCTTTCAAAACAAGGTCAGTTTCCTGCTTTAAGATTTTTTAGTTTGCAGAATTTTACGCTGAACAATCTAGCTATCTACAAATTAATATTTGAAGAAAAACATGTTATACGTTGGTAACAATTACATATAATGAAAATTCCATTTTCACTTTAAAGCCTGACGGCTTAAAATGCAAAAACACATTCAATTTTTTCGAGTAACTAAACTTAACTAAATGTGATCAAGGCTTTGTTTCCATTACTATAATATCATCTCGAGTTGCAGCTATACCAATTTAATAAAGCTGTGTATCAAAAAAACATTGCTAACACTGCAAATACCTGTGACAGTTCAGGTTAAGAGTGAAGCATGCAGACGGTAACTATTACATGATAACGTGCTGGTTTTGTTCTACACTGACTTTATACAAAAAATAGTGATGGTACTGATACTGCATCTTTGTAGCATAAAAAAAAATACCAAAGAAAATTATAGCATTTTTAGCATCTTATTTCTCTATTGGATTGTAGGCGAAAATATTTATTTCAACACTTGTCTAATGACGATTACTTAAACTAAGAGTTAATTTTCAGATCTCTATACAATTAACGAAACCGACAGATGCACTCTCAACACTGCTCTCCGTGCTTTGCCGGACGTGCACAAAACTAGGTAGCTAAAAGAACGATACCGGTCGTGAGATCAATCGACAGTATACCCTTGAAAGTTGTTCCTACATACTTAACTTTCGTTCTCGGTCTTACAGTGTATTCTATATATTAACTTCCTCGCGGATCAACTAAACTGAACATGTACTTGAATCAAAATAATAACAAAGAACTTATCATAATTTATAGTAAGTCGGCTGATCCTGGAAGTCCGCTCATGACGAGTCTGTCGTAAAGTTCCCCAACCATCAAATGGCGGTGTTTCGCAATAAGATCAAGAACAACGTCGCACGGGTTGGTGGTTCTCTTATCAAGAAAGCGGATTTCGTTGTAAGACATGCCAAAGCTCTCTGCAAGCTGTTTCCATTCTTCTCCACCTAGCAAACAAAAGTGATTTAAAAGTTTCAGATTCTGTTTTATCGGAAAGTTTATAGAAACAGTAGCGCTTGTGAGGAAAGACCTACTGTCTTGAACCCGGAATGATATGTTTGTGCGACGTCAGATGCGTTCTTGAAGACAACTGGCTTTTTCTTTAAAGTTTGAGCTATGATTTTAATTTACAACTTGTTGAACACTAAGATTAAAATAATTTTATGAGGATGACATATAATTGATATATATGGATAAAAGAGATGTAAGTTTCGCATAATTGGGTGCTTAAGTAACCAAGACTACGATGGCAGCGAAATAAGTGTGACTTAAGGTGGCTCGATAGGGTTTTTCCGGATCAAACCCTTCCAAGTTTGAACACAAACTACGTCGCCATTGACCGACAGATTTGGAAAAATTACCACGACAGCTGTATTAGATAAAGATGAAAATTTGTTCTCATCGGGTTACAATGACACCGGAGTTGACATAGCAAGGAAATGACGCCATGAATTTCTCGGCACTGGGAACTGTCCTTCTAAAATCGTTCACGGGAGCTTTTTCCTCCAATAGACTCCCCGATGTTTGTGAAGTTTAAGCGAAATGGAATGGTTGGAAATACGGTAAAAAATGGACAATATTGATGTTCGGCCGTTATTTGTAGAAAGCGAAGAGTTTTGAAATGCAATTTCACCTCATACTAGTTTCAGTATGTTTAAAACGTATGTGAAAGATCCTGGAGATAGCTCAAGGCGATTGCTAGAAAGAAGGATTTGAATAAATTTTTGTCAGTAATTTCGTGTTTACAAGTGAGAGCCTCTCATTATTCATGGGTATTGTCTCCAAGTTTTATCTTTTCGTGGACAACAATACACCTGTAGGTACCATTTCTGCATATTTTAAATGCATTGTTAGTAACTGCTGTTCACGAGCCACCTTAAAATGAATAGAGAGAAGTCGTTACGTCACGTTGCCATGGTAGACAAATTTCTGTATCTCAGGAGACGTGGTCCTGCATCCTTTTTCGCACGGCTGATGAGCCGAAATCGATTAATGTTGAGTTGTTTGAATATTCTGACGGTCTTATAAGAGGATCTGTTCATGGGCGAAACCGGCCAAAAGATGGCCGTTGTCCCGACTATATACGCAAGCCTGTTTCAGTCTCTCAGTCAATGCAAAAAGGCGAAAAAGGCTCTCGAAAAAGTTCAACGACTCCCATTCTGTAATTGATTTCTTCAGGAATCTGAAGACGTTTAAAATGATAATGGAAAATTTGTCGTGGCATGTTTTGTTCCACCAGAAAATGTCGCATTTGAAAGTTTCCCTTCGTGGTCGCACTTTCGTAACCTTCAATAGATATTTTTTTTCAGACTGTTTTTTATCGCAACTGCATAAGTTGCGTCTTTAACCGCGATGGTCTTCCATGCAGTTAGTTTTCTAACCCTAATTTAGTTAATTTAGGTGGGCATACCTAAATAAAACTTTTGTTGTTGTATTGGATATAATTTACTGTCAGACTCAGAAAACCGTTAACACCTGAAAAATTTCAGGAATGTTCATTGTGTACTGGCTAATCACAACAAAGTTCAGGATACACAAGCAAGCCTCAAAACCACAAACTAATTACCGTTACTGTTTGCGGTTTAGTTATCTCGCGCCTCATTGGCTTATTTCTCGCAACACAATAACATTCCATGAATTGTTCTGGTGTTCACGGTTTTGTGAGTTTCACAGTAATGTCTGGAACTAGTAAATAATCTTTTCACATGATATTGACAAAATTGTAGAGACATAATTTTGGCATTTCTGAGGACACAGGTTAGAAGCTTGCAGGAAATAACAAATTAAACTTACCACAAAGACTAAATGTTAGTTCCTTTCTCGTCTTAAAGGGAATGCAAAGCACATCAAGTTTCTCGTTCAATAAGGGACCTGGTTGCCAAACAACATAGTGTGAATTAAAACAAACTACCATAACTGTACATGCAAATCTGTCTATATACTTCTACATCTACAAAGTTACAACATAAACTTTTTTGAAGGTCTAAAGGTGGCGAAAATGAGGTGGCTATTGTTGAAAAGAGAAGTATTCTCTCGAGTTCTTTCCCGAAAGATGCGGGAAAAACTTCACTTGCTATTTGGAAGTATCTTTCCTCGTGGTAATAAAATAAAGAAGGAATTTTTACATGGTGTTTTTGTTGTGGACGTACCTGTAGTACCGGCAGGTGCTATCGTCCTCAAGTACTCAATTACGTCGATTCTGTTTTGAGATTTAGCTTCATTAGCGAGACGCCGAATCCATGTTTGCGTCCCAGGCTCTGGATTTTCCAGTTCTGCTAGAGTTAACTGCAGACACTCTTGAAATTGAACTACAATTTCCTTGGGTTCTTTCGACTGAGTCTGAATGCACTGAAGAACATCATGGGGGAGAGCAAGAGACTTCTCTAGAAATTAAAGAAACATTTTACAACAGAAGACTTCAAGTGACTGCAATTAATATTATAAACTAGATTAAAGGAAAGAATAGATAAGAAAAAACACAGGGTTTAAAAAGTACAACTGATCTATGTGTTCTTGCCTTCTTGGTAAGTTATACAGCTTCTCAGTTCTCCCACGTCACATCCAGATGCACCTTGCTGCTTGAGAAAAAATTTATAATCAAAGAATTAAGAATATACAGTTTGGAAACCCTTAAATTTGTTGTTGCTTTATAGTATATATATTATATCATAAATAATGATATCTTTTGCTAAAAGTCATGAAAGTGAAAAGATCAGGTAATATATGTACTCTGCATGCCCTTCCTGAAATAGCTTATGCTTTAATTTCGTATTTTGAGGAAGTAGTAGTTGCAGTAGCTTTAGTAGTATTCGAGAAGAACACACTCGTGAATTGTATAAAGTGTACATAATGTTGAGTAAGACAGATACCAACCTTATCTACTGGATTCCTGCTTTCTTCATTGACTGTAAATGAAAACCAAGGTGCAAACATTTTGATGCGAATTCTGCAATCTCCACGAAAACCAGGTCGGGTGCAGTACTGAAATTTCTGAAGCTCGGATTCCGATAACAAGTGAAGACATTCACAGCCACGGACATCATGAGAACGACACCTGAGAGGATCTTTCTGCGAACACACTGGACAGCAAACGCACATTTCGTACTTCATGTGTTTTAGCCAGCTAAACTCGCTGCGCATGCACTCGAGTATCAGTCTGAGTTGCCAGTGAATTGCACGACTGGTGGTTAGATTAGAATAATCATCAATGAAATCTGCCGCCATTGCTCCAGAAACGTCGCTTCCATCGTGAAGGGAGATTTCAATAGAAGAGGAATGGCACGAAATGATGACAGACATCCCTTGATCAGGAAGGATGTGGAACCGAGCAAAATTCCTAAACAGTTGGGGTTGTATCTGGCTCTTCCACTCTTCGTTGCACCACTGGTACAACTGGAGAACTAGTCGTGTGAACAGGCCCGGAGGCACTCGACCTAATTCAAACCTCACAAAAAGAGAAGGGATTCTCACAGAGGAAAGGAGCTCAACGAGGTCGTCTGAAGGGGGCGACATCAACATGGATGGCACCAGGTACTGTTTGTGTTCTCCTTCAGATGGCCAGGGGCAGAGCAAGCTGAATCTCTCCATTATCGCGATAAGGCTCCCACAGGTTTCTTTACTGTACATATCAATCACAGATTTCCACTTGTGATCCAAGAGCCTTTCATCTAAGATTCCAGTGTCCTGCAGTTTAAGCAAAAACTGTTCAACGATGCCTTCTGTCGGCTCATAACGCTTAACGGTGATCACTTCCTTGAAGATGTTAATGAGCCACTGGGGGTCCAAAATCACCATGTTGTTCAATTCTGGTGTTTTGTTGAAATGAATTAGAATCTTTTGATCGTGCATAAAGGTAAGCATCGTCCTAAACTGTTCATCGTCGTAGATCCCGCAATTATCAGTGGCAATCTGCCTTGCTTCATTGATGGGCATCCATTTGTAACGCTTTTCACGTAAAACCCGGAGGATATGTTCAAACCTTAACCACTTTAATGGAATAGCCTCCCTTGCTTGAGGAAGACTTTGAGCAACGGAACGTAACTTCTCTCTTAGGCGCACTACTTCTGGACACTCATTTTCGCTTCCTGACTTCGTGTTGTCGACAACAAAGACGTCCTTAAACAAATGGCTTTTGTAGGGCTTGGTTCTTAGAAATCCAAAAATATCGAGTGCCAAACCTCTAGGATCAGTGGCACTATTGTAGGGTTCATCGGCGTGAGTACACACGAAAAAAACTGGAGGCAATCTCGTAGTTGTGGCCTCTGACGGACAGGTGTCCTGGCCAATAGCATCTGGACCGACCAACGAATAGACTGATGACAGCCAAAAGTCAAGGTAGTCTAGGTTTGTCTTGCTGCAACAAGAGTCTTCTTGGGTCTTATAAAGCCCTTGTCTGACGTCAGTGTCAGCTTTTTGATACGGGTTGCGACTTAGGTCACAAGCTAAAATGTAGATGGCACTCTGGGTCAAGAATATCGGATGGGTAGCATAGTAGACTGACTGTCCACCAAAATCCCAAATAATCGAAAAAACTTCGTTCTCTTCTTGAGCCTTTTCATCATCTTGCAGCATTCTTTCGACCAGTGTTGCTATGCTATCTGGTACCCTTTCTTCGAGCGGATGACTAAAACTTTTTGCCCTTTCCCATACGTCTGTTAGCACCTGCTCAGTGCTACTTGTGCTTTCAACATTTTGCAGCGTTGTTTCGACCAGTGTTGCTGTGCTATCTGGTACCTTTTCTTCGAGCGGTTGACTAAACCTTTTGGCCCTCTCCCATAGGTCTGTTAGCAGTGGTTCAGTGCTACTTGTGCTTTCAACATTTTGCAGCGTTGTTTCTAACGATGATGCTCCGCTGTCTGGCACCTTTTGTTTGAATGGAAGACTATAACGTTTTGCGCTTACTTTTGACTCACTAAGTAATAATTCAGTGCTGGTTCTGCTTGGTTCCATGAAAGGTTGGCTCGGAGATGTTTGTACTCTCACAGGTAACTTCTCAATGTTTTTTAACTCCCCACATATATACTTTGCAACGGGACGCTCAAACAAAACCTCTGATATGGGTTCAGTTACATTGTTCTTCTCACCTGTTCTCCAAGCTTCACAAGAAATATGAAAGTAGTTGGGGTCAGTGTCTATTCCCACCGTACTGGGTTCCTTTGCATTAAACTTTTCTCCCTTTAGAGATTTTTTCAGACTTGTCTTTCCTGTCCGATCCTGTCCAATTAACATGATTGGTACTCTTTTTGTGGATGTCTTCCCATCCAAAACGGCACGGTTGTACGCTTCAACTGCCACGGGACCTCGCGCTTGAATATCTAAGGGAAC